TTTTCTGGTTCCTGTTCTGAAGGAAGATGATTTCATTGCCATGTCTCACAGTGGGTGGGACATGGACTGCACCCCATCTGTGCTCCTGCAGTTCAGAGTCTGGAATATGAAAGCCTTTCAGACTCTTCTGTTTGCTAGGGCACCTGGAAGCCTTGTGTAAGTTCCTCTGTCTGGAGCAGTTACCTAGCGGTTCTTTCTCCATCCCGAGAATTGCCATGTGTTGCAGCTTCAGACTTTCCAAACCCTGGTATTTCTGCTAGACTGCAGCAGATGAGACTGATGGCAGAGCAGAGCTGAGGGAAGTCTCTTCTGCCCAAGTGTGTGGCTTGAAGTTCTCTTTGTGTACAGAATATAGGAAACTTAACCAGGTCCAAAAGCTCTGGCTTGGTTATGTCTGTCATGTAATGGAGCAAATTCTTTTGGCACCTTAGCAGTCTCACTCTATCACTGGAACTGCCAGCACACTTGAAGTTAGATGATTTCTGTGGAGCTTTACTGAATCAAAGTATTTATCAGGACTGTCACTACGTAACTGTCAAACTTTCTCTGTGCCTGAAAAATTCCAGGATTTAGATGGATGGGAGTGTGATGTCATCATAATTGCATTTTTATGTAAATGCTTGCTATAAAATAATTTTGGATTAAATGATGTGTTCCTTTCATGTTGGCAGAATATAATTTGTCTTAAATGGCAGCAGACTGTTGTATATGTAGTTCTGAAAGTTAAGTGTTTTGATTCACACTTGCAATTTATTGATTTTACATTGTTACCAAATGGCATTCCAAAATCAGCTCAGAATACCATGGTTCAAAATCCTGTCACTCATATGATGAAGTTATTTTCATGTAACCCACTCTGCAAATGGGAGTGGCAAGGAAAGTAGAAGAGCTAGAAGGATGAGAGGGCAAATGCATTTTAACAGGTAGTAGACTTGAAGACAATCCTAATTTTTATTATCTCTGTATGTTCTTATGCAAACATTGCTTCTGTGCTGTGAAACAATAAGTCCCAAACTGCAAAGCTGTTTGTTATCGTCTTGCCCTGCATTTGTCTAAGTGTACCCTCCATCACAGATTTCAGTTTAGGCTCTAAGGAAATACTGACTTGAAAAAAAAACTTGAAAAAAATCTTGATCCTCATTGTGCAAGCATTCCATGTATGTAATCCAGCCAAATTCAGTGTGAGCACAGTATTTCATGTGAACAAATGATGGCAAGACTCCTCAGTTTGGACAGAACACCTTATACAGAATGACTTTCACCGGAGTGAAAAGCCAGAGTTGTGCTGTCTTCGTGAGGTCACCCCTTCAGCAGTCTCTGATTCTGTGCTGCTGACACTTATGACATCCTTAATTTGCTGCTCTCACATCTGCTGTAGCTAGTGCTGTATGAGCCTAGTGTAGGTCAGAAGAAACCTTTTGGGTCTGCGTGTGCTAAAAATGAGAGAGATGGCTTCCAAAGACAAATTGCTTGTGTGTAAACTCACCAAATCCTTCTGGTGATTCTAGTGTCTACAAAAAGAAAAAAAGAGACTTGAGTGTAAAAGACTATCCAATATTCACAGTCCCCTGACATATTTTAAAAGGTGCATCAAAGAATTCCTGAATATTGTAGAAGTGAGATTAATATGATATTCTCTATTGATTTTGTCCCCTGCTGTCATGTGCACCTTAATACTGAATTTTAAAAGCTCTTAAGTTACAAACAAGAAACTGTATCTCCCGTAGCCATGTGTCTGCAGTACACAAATGTGTTTCTCTTATTTCTTCCTTTTTGTTTCTCTTTATCCCACAAGGAAAATATTTTTCTCCACCAAAGGACTGTATTGAATTGAAGGACTGCTCACAGTGCATGAGAACAGAATGGCTGTGTTTCATGCATCTGTACATACAAACATGCATGCATATTATTCAGCCCACCACCCTATTTCCCTGGTGTACATATTGGTTCAGCCTTACTTTCTGGCTTGTGGTACAATGGTACCTTCCTCCTGGCATAGAAAAGACTCTCATTACATTTTGAGCAGCAGAAAATAGTGGCACATCATGAAGCAGTAGCATCTGGTACACTCAGTCTCAATCAGTGCACACCAAAGGAATGCTGCGTGCTGCTAGGATGTCTGATAGCCTTTAATGTTTAATGGGTTTTCTTAGTACTGTGTTGCTGCCTCTCACTTTCTGTGACTGCACTCTCAGTTATCACATGTCCCTGTATGTGCAACATTCTGTCACAGAGATAGATACATACGCAGTAATTGTGGAATTTCTGTATATTAACTGTCTCATCCTTTGATTACAGGTATTTTCCTCGTGGTTGTTTTAAAGTACCTTTGGATTTTGAGGGTAATTAGTTTCCCAAAACTCTCAGAAGTAGTCTAAGGTGTGTAGGTGGGTATAGAATATCTTCTGAGGAGCCTCTTAACCTTGTTAGTGGGAATTGAACTTCCTACTAGTGAAATACAAAGTCCTTTATACCAGTGATACCAGGATACACTTATTCTCCCACTCAAGGCTATTGTTGGCTTACAGTTAATTGTTGCAGCAGGTAGGAGTAGTTGGCTTAGGTATTCCCTTGTGTACATCTGTCTGGACCAAAAGCAGTGGCAGCTGCAAGTGCCTGCAGGCTGTGGCTCTAAGGAAGCCACAGAGCAACTTTTCTCTAAATCTCAATGAGATATAAGAAAACTTGTTTGTTTTAGTGGAGTTCATTCTGTACACAATGCTGTGATAGGATGGTCTGTGGCTTACCTGCTTGTAATTCAAACATAAGATGTTGGGTTCCTGTAACTGTACCTGTTCATAGCTGTACTTGGAATTCCACTGAAAATAGAGACAAACTCAATTTAAATACTTAAGGAGGTGGGTTGAATTAGGTTTCTTTAAAGCCAAATCTGTTCAGGTCAGATTTTATACATTTTCTTCCTTTGTTAATTCCATTGCGTGGATTGTACTGCTACAACTTTGTTTCACAAAGAAATGTTATTCTTGGCAAAGAGTTCTCATACACACAGCTCTTAATTTCTAGATGTTTTAATGTCAAACACTTAGTTAAATAAAAATATAAACAAAGTCATGGAAGAATGCAGTTAAATGCAGAAGTGATTTTTGGGAAACCCAGAAGACAGAGCCATAACCTTTGAGATTTCCTGGCCTTTACTTTTCAGGATCTGAGAAGCAGGCTGTCCTGTCTGCATCTCAGTACTTTTATGCTGCCTTTCCAAGGAAAAAGGAGTTGGATGCAGGCCTGAGTTAGATCTCATGGGGATAGTGTTCTGTACCTTAAATTACAATCAGATGTATTTTAGTTCAGATGAATTTTTCAGCCTAAAATTGGTAAAAAGCCTAATTATTTGACCAGGTTACTATTTACGTAGACCACTGTGTAGCAATCTGTCATTTATCCACAGCTGGCAACATGTTACCCTTGAAAGGTTTTTATTTTGTGTTTGGAACAGTTTTTAAAAAATCCAACTCTGTTCATTAAATGAAAAACTAAAAGATGGTAGAGATTGCTATGGAGATGAGATGTTATATAAACTGTTCATTTTAATTCTTCAGAATGTAAAAATAGCCAAGAAGCTTGGATGTTTACAGGCTTCCAGTCGTTCAAGGTACTGAGTGACTCCACAACATGCATAGCATTCTTGTGCCCTTTGGACTTTTACTGTCAAGTAGCGAATCGTGCCCAGATTTTGAAATCAATCATGTATTTGTTAGACTGGAGAGTGTGGAGTAAGGAGAAATAAATAGAAATACTCTCAAAGTAGTCTTGAATCTGTAGGCTCTTCATTATATTATTTTTTTTAGTGAGTAGAATGCCTAAGATGGACTGATAGCTGAAGTGTGTAAGATAAAAATAGAGATATTCTGTGATCCAAAGGCATAATCATATGGATAAAAACTGGAAAATAAGACTGCTTGACTATTAGAAATTTGATCATGTGGTTATGTTATAGACAGGAATGAAATGGTGTTTTATTTGTCAGACCCTTCTCACAGTTGTTTATTATTGTGCCTTAGACATAATCTCTGGCCTTAAGTTTAACACTTGCTGCTCACACTTGAAAATTGCTATTGTTCACTGGGATTTGAGAAAAGTTAGTAAAATTAATTTTAACATTATAAAAACAAAACATCCAAAATTTTTTCAATGAGTGTAAAGACAAAGCCTATGTCTAATTAGTGGATTAATGAAACTGTAGTGTATCTTTTCATGGCTCCTGGAACACGTGGCTGAGATAACCATCTGCAATGCTAAATTATATTATAAATGGCAGCCTTGAACTCTTCTTCATACAGGGTTGAAATTAGCATTCACAATTTAGTAGACAAGTAGGCATTTGTGGTTCAGTTCTGTTTATTTTGGTTCACAGTTGATACTTACTTGAATGTTGATGTTCCGAGTTAAAAAAAAAGTACTTGGGGGGGGGGAAAAAAAACAAGTAAAAAAAAAAGCTTTTGGGGGGGGGGGGGCAAATAAAATACCTGTGTGGAAACATGAAAAACCCTAGGTTTTTCCTGCAAAACAGTAACAACTGCTACAAGCTCAGCATATTCAAGGTCTTTATTATAAGCAAGGTAATAATTTCTCTAGCAAGGGATTTCATTAATCTCCTAGCTGTGTGTAGTACCATCATATTGGACTCTGGAATTAAGCAGCACAGTCTGATTGACTCTATTACTATAAAGGGGCATTTAGAATTATAATATATCACATCTTAAAATGCAAACATTAGTCTTAGCTGCCATGGGAAAGTGTACTACATGGAATGCAGAGGTAGGGAGTTACGTTTAATTTTGGAGGGCTGTTGATTCTAGGCATATGGAGATTCTTTGTCACCTCTTTAAAACCTTAATGTAAAGGCAGTATTTCCCAGAAGTTTTTATCCATGCATGTGTATGACAAATGTGAGTTGTGAGAGACTTTATAGAAGCAGCATGCTTCGTGTGGTACCTAATATGAAATTAGTAACGTACACTGATTTGTTTGGATGCTTGCAGGGATTCTTCCTGACGGTGTCACCAGAAGCAGTATTAAAAGTGGCTGCTCAGGCTTCTGCCAACAACAAGATCTTCAGCTTGAATCTTTCTGCACCATTTATTAGCCAATTCTACAAAGAGCCTATGATGAAAGTCATGCCTTATGTCGACGTTCTTTTTGGAAATGAGACGGTGAGTCTGAAGAAAATAATTGAAGTATTCCTATCTCTTGCACTTACGTGTTTGTATCTCAGAGCCTGCTTCCCTGGGACATGACCCCAGGCTGTGCCAGGCAACATTCGTATTGGACATCAGAAGAATTTATTTACTGAAGGGGTTGTCAAGCATTGGAACAAACTGCCCAAGGAGGTGGTGGAGTCACCATCCCTGGAGGTGTTCCAGAAATGACTGGACATGGCACTTAGTGCTATGGTCTAGTTGGTGGGGTGGTAATCAAAGGTTGGACTCAGTGATCTTGGAGGTCTTTTCCAACCTTGATGATTCTGCGATTCCTGGTGCTCAGATTTTCTACAGAGGGAATCTGACCATGAGAGGTGTCACTAGGACTGGGATATTTCAGTAGATGCCAAAGATGTCACTTGACCTGTTAGGTGTACAACTTGCTCATTCTAGTAGAAAGTAGCCAACACATCAGCTCCTTTGTAATAACTGTTCATGTTAACCCTGAAGTTAACTGTGCTGGAAGAAAACATACAAAGGGCTACTACTGAGCTTCTATAACTTGGTTCCATACCCATACTACTGCTATTATTAGCATTTTCTGTGATGAAGATGACTCTTTGGAGAGATGTGGGAGGAGAACACTAAGAAATGGTTAATTGGTTTAAAAGGTTCTCATTGATTTTCTGGTAGATGGATTGGCAGCCTAGGAAGGCTTATCTTTGCTAAGCAAGTTGACAAACAGATTGCATGAAATTCTGCCTGGAAGTCCATGGTAATAGACCAAATTAATTCAGATTTCCTTCATTGTAGTGCTATCACTTTTTGATTTTTTTTCCACTTTAGAAAGTGCTCTTAAATATTTATTAGTTTGCTCAGCAGAAAAAGATTGAAAAAAGCCTTGGAAAGTGTGACACACCTAAATGAAATGTGAGTTTGTCACTCAAAATAACTACATGAGTACAGGAAAATAATGGAAAAGCGACTTATTTCTGTCAATAGTTATTCCTGATTGTGACACAGGGACTTGTACCAACACAAGTCAGTTTTTAAACTATTGTCCACATGTCCACATTGGAGGCTAGCATCGTTACAGATATAGGACTTCTAAAGATTTAAAATTAAATATTTTTAAAATGAAAAATATTACAGTGTTTTTAAATGCAGTAGGATATGGGAAATCTTTTTAACTATAGTTAATTATGCAGGAAAAGTATTTTCCAGTCATGTTGCTGCTATTTCCAACTGTTATCTTTATATATCTCTCACAATACAGTCCTCACAAAGATGGTACTGAATATTTTGATTTTCTAGCAGTATAATCTCAACAAAATAAACCTTGTCAGATTTCACAAATTAAGCAATACCAAATCTAGTCAATTTTTGGGGAGAAGACCTTCATGGAAAGGGATTAAACCTTGCTGGTCTTTTATATAAATATTGCTCCTTTGGCATTTTAGGATAATTCAGATCACAGCAGTTTGTTAGATGCTATTTTTCATATGTTGTTACTTCTTCTATATTTATGTACTTTATAAGCAACAGTCCACTATGCAGGTGTCATTCCAATTTTAGAAATTATATTCAGACTACAGTAATTTCCTCTGTCATTTCAGTTTGCTTTGGTATTCTTCACCTGCTGTCATAAAATATTGTACAGGACTGTAGTGTTTTTTAAAGTTGAGAGACTCCCTGCACTTTGTGTGTATAATTTCTGAAGCATTTTGGTGTGTTTCAGGGCAAAAGATACTATTTAAACATAAGGGACCATCCTTAGATCTGGCAGTACAATCTATACTTCAGAGTGCCAGTCTCCTGCGCTTTGTTACTAACACTAATCATGAAACCTTGGTCATGCCTTAGTCTCTGCTTTCCACTATATAAGCTGGCAATTGCTGCTTTTGAGTTGTTGAAATGCTATTTGCAGTGGTTCATTCTCTTGTCTTTTTGTGTGACTTGAAACCACACTCTTGGCATGGTGTACTTCTGCTTTTGAGTAGCCACTGTGTCTTCTGATTGTCAGTTTTTCTGCTCTCTGCATATGGTTTTTGGTAAAGAGTAGTTGCAAAACTCAAAAGAAAGCTCATTCTGACATGTTTTGCCTTCTAGTAGCTTCCTCCTTTGTTTTTGGTGAGGGTTTTTTCCTCCCATATGTAATTTCATCACAAAGTACATTCAGGACGTTTTTGTGTTTGTGTATGCCTTGATGGGCAATGAACCACTTCAGCCAGCCAGCACCAAATTTTTGCCCATTTACTGTGATGTCGTTTTGCTTTTTGCTACAATTTCCACCAGTTTAAGTGCATAAGTTAACGTATAAGCAAGACATACTAAGTGGGGTGGTTGTTACTTTATTAGTACAAACAATACTCTTAGACACAATTTTTATTCTTCCCTATACTTATCTTCCCTCCACATTATAGACCAATACAATTCTGTTGTTAAGCACTGAGCTGTTTATTTTTTGAGTAATACAGAAACATCCAAGTGCAGCAAAATTCCAAATTGCTGCCATTCCTAAACTAAAAACAATTGGCAAAGTGATTTTAAATTATATCTTCTACTTAAAAATTTACATCTGAATGGAGATTGGTTATTTCAAGTTTCAGCCAGATGGTAATTAAAATGGGCAAGTTATAAACCTCTCAGAATAAATGTTCTAGTTTAGAATGTAAATGCCAGCATAGCCTTAACTGCAGTGGAGACACTGAATGCTGTGGTAGCAACTCAGTACATTTATCAATTCCTGCATTAGCTCAGTGACCACTGGTGTTTTGATAATTTATTTAAATCCATTTCATAACTACCTGAACATCTTGACTTGGATTTTTGATATTTATTAACTGTACTTCATATAATAAATTTAGTACAGAACATTCAGAAAAGGAATAATTATATGGTCATTGCTGCTAACCAATTAGGGCCATTCTGCAGTCATTATCTGGCAATACATGACTGGAGAACTTGATTATTGTCATGGCTTTTAATTTTTATTAAATTAAGGTTTTTTTAACAGTGTCATTTTGCAAATGGTTCTTAGCAATAATACCTTCCAAGCTACCATAATCACTGGATAATTAACCTGCCAGGATTAAGCACACTCTACTTTGCCTCAGGATGCTTAACTCTCAAATAAGGTCAATTATCTCCTGATGATAACTGCTTTGTCACAGGTTGCTGCTTAATTTGGCTGTAAAAGCTCACCTTAGAATACATATTTTACAACTCTAAGTAACTTCCAGTAACTGAATGGTCAAAGGAGTGAAAGCTTTGAAAGTGACGTCTTTACATGGAGTTGTGGAATATTTCCTCCGCAGCAATTATACTGGACAAGTAAAGGCAACTAAATTTGTGCATATTTCTTTCCTAGACCTATTTCCACTTTCCTAGTTAGGGCTAAAGCTTGATGTCTCCAGTACACTTGACCCATCAAGGTCAATAATGGGCACAGGAATCTGAACTCAAGTTCCAGTCTCCCCAAAAGATGTGAACTACAATGGCATCTCCCCAGGGAAGGAACTTCTTTTGGGGGCAACGCTCTGTGTATTTTTGGATGTGCAGCTGGATAGCAGTTTCTTCAGAATTTAAGGGACACTGCAAGGCTTTCACATGATTCATCCCTGCATATGGCACTTATTCATGACTCAGAGGAGTATTTGTTGATATTGATGTGGTAAAGATCTTCTGGGTTCTCTTGCTACGTGTAGGCAGGGCATCGCTGGGAAATTTTAGAATTTGGAAACTTCGGAATTACAGACATGCTGAGCTCCTCATCTGGTGCTTCACAACAAAAAGCATAACCCAACAGTATAACTTGTGGTATACAGTGTACAGCATTCAGTAGAAGTTGAGGAGGTTACATAGAAGAGAAATTGTGAATTTTTCTTAAGTACAAATTTAATAAAGAATGCTAAGATAGCTTGGAAATTAGAACCTCTTCCTCTTAGTGTAAAGAGCTGTTACTTCTAAACACCCAGTTTCTGAACAAATTAATTACAGGCTTGTAAGCTGAAGTTCTGCAAAGACAGATGCACCTGTGAGCTCATTGGGAAATTGATGCTGCTGTGACAGCAAACGCACTGAAAAGAAGGTTGTGTGCAAGACTTGTATATTTTAAGAATCAATGACAATAGCTTTAGTGGTGTTTCTGGAGTTAGAAATCCTGAGCTTTAAAGACATGAGTGTCTTTGTATGCAGTAAGACATCAGACAGGTCTTGTCATCATTCCTTTTTACAATTATACTGAAGTGGTACATTGTGCATCCTGTTTTTAAAATACTTTCAAGTGAGGTATCAAATTCTAGCAGAAAGATCCCTAGAAATATTTGTGGTTTGGACACAAACTTTAAGACCTTTTGTAAAGGCAAGTTTCTTTAGTGACAAGGAAAATTCTCTTTAATGGCAAGAAAAAACAGTAAATATAAGACTGAGGTTTTGGTGAGGTTAACATACTCCTGATTTTGAACTTGCAGTCCATCTGTAGTTTTCTGTTTATTTTAACTGGGGGAGTGAATGAAAATGCTGCTAAGTGTTCTGGCATAAACTGTGTTCAACACATTAGGATTTATACCTAATTGACAGTTTCCAAACAAATTGGTGTATTCCCTTGCTGTAAACAGCTTTCACTCCACATACTTTGATATATTACATTAAAATATGACACTGCAAACAACCTTCAGTCCCACCTGCAAATTTCCTCTCCTGCATTATCACCTGGAACCAGACTGATACCTGCAGGCTTAGGAACCTGCTCACAGCTCACAAGAATCTTCAATTGAGACCTAATCAGTTTTGTAATATAAATGAGCCTCATGGTGATTCTTTTCAAACTAGTGTGCATCCGTAAAGACATAGCTGAATGATTTGAATTTACACCAGTGCTATTGCTTCTGTTTCTAGATGTAGCAGATAGCTTTCCACAACCACCTGACCGTGGTGAGTTGTCTGATGCTGAGGAAATGATTAAGAAGTAAGAGGTGGGAGAAAATCAGGTGGCAAATGCAATTTGCTAT